ACACACACACACACCTGCAGTCCAGAGCAGAGCAGACAATGAAAAAATGCCCCAGAACACATTGCTGCTATTCAGAATGGAGTTACAGCAAACACGAGCAGAAAGCAAATCTATATGTCCCCTCTGTAGTTTATAATAAAAGCTTTTCACACCTGCAGCACAAACCTCAACAAACAATCATAAATGCCCTGAATACACCATAATAGCTCCACAAGACACATGGCTGACACCCACCTGCAATCCTGCCCTCAGTAGACAATGAAAATGCCCCAGAAAGGACTATAATACAGAGGGTCTATAGACTGGGAAACACTTGAGTTAGGATGGGTGCATTGCTCGGTGAGGGAAGTGGAAAACACGAGCATATAGAGAAGGTGGAATATTGCACAATAAGACACATAAACTGAGATTTAGCCTAATACAAACACGCCTGCCTTTTGGAACAACAAAACAAGTCAATGCAACTTAAAATTTGGCTAAACCAGCTTTAAGTGCAGGTTTCTTAACATTTAAACCAATCACAGTGCACAAACCAGGCATCCTTCTGAAGAAGAGTCTTTGGATATTTTAAATTAATAATGAAATAGACAATACACACACTGTAAATCATTATATACTGTTGCCCACAGAATAAGGCGATGGGAAGAAAAGTCATTATTGAGACCTACCACCATAGCCTTTATAACATATAACATAAGATATTTGAGCCAGTTATTTCATATTTCATGTAAATCATAACCATAAAAAAATGACTTAAGGCTAATAAGTGCTGTGAAGTTCATGCAATTGTGATCTTTTAATATTTTTTTTTGCCAAAACTCACCAGAGATTTCGGTCTGGGGTACCCCTGACAGAGTGAACCCTTTCCCAGTGTAGAACTGCCGCAGGTCGGTGCAGCTCCTGTCCGCCCCGGCCACCGGGCCCGGTGCTGCAGACAGACACACCAACACACAGAGAAGCACCGGGAGCCGCATCTTCTGAAGTGTAGTCCCTTTTCTTTCAATAAGTCAGACAATCCTGAATATTTCTGGTCCGAGTGAATCAAACTCTCCCAGAAGATAACTGTCTTCTGTGTTTTGTTGCGTTTAAAAAAAAAAATATTTGGGAGAGTTTTCTTGTAAGAGAGTCTGTGAGCTGAAGCAGTGTTCACCCGGTCAAACTGCACAGAGAGCTCCGGTTAACTACACCGACCACCAGGCGACAAAAGAAGGCACCCGCGGCGGGCAGTGCTGAGTGTTTCTGCGGGAGAAGAGAGCTGCGACTCGCGGCTGTAGGTGTCAGGTACACCCCGCTCCTCCTCCTCCTCCTCCTCCTCTTCTTCAGCGCTGCTGGCCGCGAGCTGCAGAGATGTCAGAGACAAAAGAGAGAGAGAGAGAGAGAGAAAGAGAGAGAGTGTGTGTGTGTGTGCGAGAGAGAGAGAGGGAGGGAGGGCGAGAGAGAGAGAGAGCAGGTGTCGCTCAGTTAAAGCCGGTGCAGATCACGCTCACACTATCGGTTCATGATTATGGAAATCAGCCGGTTTAAAGGCAACAAAGGAGCAAGAATCAGTTATTTTAAATGAGGTTTCAGACTGCAGGAGAACTGTCCCGTGAATCCCCATGTTTCCAGGCTTTTGGGACAATGAAATGTGTGTTGGAGGGAGTGTGCTGAAGTGTGTTGATGCTCGCTCTTTCCCTCTCTCTTTGTGTGTGTGAATCTGAGTGTGTGTCTGCTGCTTTCAGGGACCAGGGGCTCAACAGCGCCACCTGCAGGTCCCCGACAGTAGGAGAAAGCGTAGAAGAATGGTAATCCAGGGGTTCCCCTACAAAACGGTACAGTATTTATTCTCATTAATTAAGAGTGACAGTGTACACAATGAGAGACTGTATTGGTTTCATTATCCTCAACATGAAGGCTTTAAATGGTAATAAATCACAGATAATGAAATCAAGTCCATGTTTTGAATCCTAAATATCTTTGGTATTCTTTGCATGAATAAGTTTGCCAACAACTAGTCTGCAGTCAGAACTCAAATGTGTCCAAATGTAAGAAATATGAATAGAAAATAATCAGAAAAACCTGCTGATTATTTGCATAAATTAGATAGATTTAAAAAATACAGCACGCTGTGTTGACCTTAAAATCAGGAGAAGCTCAAAAATAATTTGTCTCTTTTGTTCCGTTAGACACGCATTTTCTTTCAATTACAATATATATATAATATCCTTTTTTTAAAAAGAGCATCTTCAAAAGAAAAGGTGGGGAAATCATTTAAGCACTGCAACTGAATAAAATCAGGCAAATGAAAGGAATGAAAGAGAATAAAATATGATGAAAAGAATGAATAAACTAAATATATAATATATATATCGCTCTACTTTACTTGCTTTACTTTATGGGCACCATCAATAAAAGTCTTTTTCAAAAGATAAGTTTCGAGACAATTTAAAAGATGTTAGTGATTCTTTAAGCCTCAGATTGTCAGTTTCAAAGCAACACTTAAACAAAGCAACACTTCAGGTCAGGATCTGAAGATCATGGATACATCTTCCTCTGCAACTAAATACAAGAAATTTGTCGTGCAAATGAAAGAAAAGAGCCTTCGTGAAAACAAAACCTGACTCACACAAACACACACACAAAGCTGTAGACACGCCATGTATCCCTGCAGGCAGGTCTGCGGCTGGTAGGGATTCAGAGCCTTCCCCCCCGGCTCCATTTGGCAGGGTTGGTGGACGTGACCGATGAGCTGTCAAACGCTGTCCAATCTTCCCGTCCTACATCCTCCCCAGCAGCAGTGCCGGGTCCAAAGGCTGGCCAGGAAAGGTCACAGGCAGCCCTGAAATCTGACTCAGAAATGCAGCTTAAATTAAATCCAATTGTAGGTGAAATTAGAATCACAAATGGTTTAAATATGCTGTAATTACTTTTAAATTGGATGTGGCAGAAAGGAGTGAAGGTAACAGTGTAAGTACTGTTAATGCTGCACAGGTCAGACTCAGGGTTAAGACATGCTAATTAATAATAATGCATGCTGTACATTAGCAGATAATAAGAAGATTAAAAACTCCATGTACTGTACCTCAGGCTCTGTTCTTTCTAACAATATTCTTGTCAGAAACTCTGAATACTGTTTGATTTTGAGGAACCATAATGCTGTACGCTCAACGTCTATTGCATGTCTGTCCGTCCTGGGAGAGGGAATCTTCCTCTGTGGCTTTCCTGAAATTTCTTCCACGTTTTCCCTGTTAAAAAGGGTTTTTTGGGGAGTTCATACTTACCCAAATCAAAGGGGCTAAGGACAGAGGGTGCTGAATGTTGTATAGATTGTAAAGCCCCCTGAGGCAAATTGTGATTTGTGATTTGGGGTTTTGACTTGATTAATTAAAACACCACTGTTCCTTCACAAAACATACATGACCAGTTCATGGAAAGTCCCATCACCCAGGACTCCAAAACTGAAACATTTTATGGTCAGATGTATGCAGACGCCTTTGTCAGGGACTGTTTTTCATGGTTTGGAAAAGGCCTTTATAGTTCAATTTAATGCAACATCATACTGTATTATGACAACATGGTGTAACCAACTTTGTGGCAACAGTTTGGGGAAGTTCCTTTTGCGTATAAATATGACAGTGCTCTGATGCACAAAGTCCGATTCATAAAGAAATGTTTTTTTTTGTGTGGAAGAACTTGACCTCAACCACATCCAACACCTTTGGGAAGCATGCAAAGCCAGGCCTTATCAGCAAACATCAGCATAAAGGCTCTTTTTGCAAATCCCTGCAAAAAAGGCAACAAAATCTTGCGGAGATTAAGAGTGGAAGATGTTACAGCGAGATATTAAGAACCAGGGTTTAAAGATAAGATGCTTAACAACAACATATGGGTGTACTGTAAGGTGTCTAAGGAGTAGCCTAGGAGTTAGGGCACTCACCATAAACAGCAACGTCCCCGGTTTGACTCCTGCTGGAGCCTTTTGTTGCGTGTAATCTCCCATCTCTTTTTCCCCTAATTTCCTGTTATCTCACTGCTGTTGACTTGGAAATGAAGCCGTGTAATTTTGGACATGCAGTGTACACTGAACCCAATAAAACGATTCAAGAATTGCAAAACCCTCGCTGTTGGGGTGTATGCTGTCATGAACCGGCTCCAGACAAAACAAGGGAGACCACACAGATAATTCATGAACTTTTGATCAATATTAAACTATATAAGTACAGAAATATGTAAATCATGAGTGTATGGATGTAAGCTAGTGTGCTGAAGGAAATAAAAGTCATACAAACCCAGAACACAACCAAACCAAAAACCTGCTGGCTGGGAG